CTTCCCACCCCTTTCCTCCATCAGTTTATAACATTATATTCTACACTCATTGTTTTTATTCCAATTCCAGTATTTGGTTTTGCCGATAATGTATTCATTAATTCATTTTTCATCACTATATGTATAAAAGCAAGTAACACATGTATTAACCACATAGTCTTTGCGATAAGAGAACAAATACCATGTACCACTCTTTATTCTGTCAGCCATTGTAACTTCCTTCGTCTCCACTACCACAAAGGTGATAGTGTCCTGGAAACAGACATCAAAAGAAAAATTATGTAAGTCAGAAAAAATGCAAACGAAATATCAAATAATTAGACTCTGTAATTCATCTGAACATATGTAAAATATCACGGGCAATTTACGTTAACATTTAACGACATCGTTATACAATACCATAATAAAAATCTAGACTCCTAGCTTGAGTGTTTATACACATGCACACATTAAACATGATATGTAACTTGTCTTATATCATCATCTTTGAAGTTGCAAAGAACAATTGGTTAGGGTCGCAAATTACCTACCCGATGCAATTCCTCCAAGCGTCGAGTCTAAAAACAGGAAAAAATCTGCAATGTGATATGGATGGATTGACAGTATCATATTCTTGCCGCCCATGACCTTGTTTAGTCTTGATTTTTTTAATATAAGAGAGGTGTTTTCTCTTCTTGCTCTGAATTAGATTGAATTTAAAAATTTGAATTTTCAATCGTCAAAATGCAATATGACCACTTACCAACCATATAGAAGACGGTCACCTGGCATTTTTGATTCACAAATTAGTCTCAAAATAACACAGTATACAAGTTAGGGCCTAAAGGGGGAATTTTAAACTTATCCATCCTATACTTCTCAAGGAATGGGGATAACAAGAATTGTTTACGTACAGACGCACGGACGGAAGACGGATCAAGGACGAAGAGCGATTTGAACAAGCCACTATCAAAGTCCCCTGTGTCTGCTTTGTTTTCCTTCGATAGTTTTAATTTATTGAAAATGAGTGTTTTATTTCTGTGGCACTTTCAGTCTATCTGGTACATATATTCCATTTAAAAGCATGTTATGAACAAATAGTTGTGAGCTGATTATAAGGATTTTGTAATTTATTTTGAATTACTAGGTAATGATACTAACATCCAAAGTCCGGAACAGAATAAAGATGGTAGGCATGATAACATGTCTTGTAGTGCGTACTAATAGTTGAATTTTACTACTTCATAAAAGTAAATGCTCATCTTCACGTTTATCGTCTGGAAAGTGCTTTTCTATGACTTCCTTAGATCTTACATTACTTAAAATACCATGTATAATACAAAAATACTTAAATAATGTTGACAACCCAGAGTCTCTACTGTACACTTTCTATGTACGTTAAATGTTAATATGAAGCTATAGAGTTAAGCGTTCATTTTACATTACGTACATATTAACCGTGTATTATCACATTCCACTTGTGGCCTTTTCATAAGACACATAATTGAATGACATCTTCTTTCAATGCACATTAAGAAACGTATAGACAATCGTTTCAATTAATTTAACTGCACCCTGCACCTATATTATAATGGGATACATTGGTGATGCAAGGTGCCCAAGATTTCAACGTAAAGAAGAAATGAGTTAAGAAAACACTAATTACGATGAAACAAATGTAAGATATAGGTAATGGTTACAGACACGATTTCCAGCCATTTCCCACTGAAACGTAGATCATTATACACAAGGTGGTCATTTCTGCCTCAGAGTGGTCAGATGAACACTTATGTAACATGTAGCGTGTTGCTACTTCCTTGTCATGCGTATGTCATCGCTTGTGTATTCAGATCCTGCATTCATTTAGAAATGCTTATTATTTACGACTCGTTAAGTAGAACAGAATGTCAATGACCCTATCTTTGTATTGTTACAGAAATAGCATTCATGTATTCGTGTTTTCAGCGCAGCGTGTGTAATCGACTCCGCTTCATGACATCGTAAAGCAATAGCTGAAGCTTTGATTACATCAACATATTTCCAAACGACCAATGTCATACCCGATACCTTACTTTTTTAAACCAACATCCCTGTACACAAACGGCATGCTAAAGGAGGATTCGGAATAACAAAATAACAAAATAGTCTTTTAAAAGCAGCGACCTCGGGAAACAATACGCCAGGTTGGTTCTAACACATCGGGTCAATTATTTGGCATCTTGGTTTTATGACCAGCAAATGACCTGGATTCAGACACTCATGTCCAATTATAAGATTTCTTTCCGTAGCAAGACACGATGGAAACTTTAAAAACGTTTTTTTTTTCTTCACATAAGGACATCAAAGATACAATTTAGTAATAAGAAATTCAAAATCGGCAAGGTGCTGAAAATTCCTAATTAAACTTTACAAACATAATGATATTAATTTGCAGTTAAGGAATACATAGTTCAGAGCATTTCATCATTGCATCGGTTAGCAGGTGATAAATTAAGTCGAGTATTAAATATAGCAACCCAGACACCATAATAAACCAGCAAATATTCATTCATTTGTATGAAACTATCGGCATACTGCAAGCAAAATATATGAATTTAAAATCTTAAATCCCGCAAAAGAAATTTATTTCTGAATCTGTGGGCAGGGACACTCAGTACAAAGTTCATGCAAAAAGCACGACATCCGAGTATATTAAGTCGAGTAATTCATCAATTTCTTTTTGCCGAAAACTAAGGCATTTTAGGGAGCTGCTGGCAATTTAGCAAAAAAAAAAATAATAAATAAATAAAAGGTGCAGAAAAATGGCAGATAGAGACGATGATTCATCGAGATTCCTTAGGTTACACCTAACAAAAAAACTTAAACGCCGTATCTGATTTAGAAGATATTCTGTATAGATATCATGGTAAGATGTCGAGCTTGAATTGTTCAAAGGACGAAGGCTTTAATGAATGCCCTTGTGATTTGGTCTGATCACCTCAACCGTAGTTTTACGAAGGTCATGTCGACCTGTCTGGTATTCATTGCGTGTTTTAATTAGATTACGCATCAAGGACCTTGGTGAAATATTACAAACTAATATTTCATGAAATAACACTTAACCTGTGAAAATATCATATTTTATACACAATATAAAGCTGATGAAATTCCAACCTACTTACTACCTTTGCACATGTTACCATCCAATTACATTTGTGGTATTGTCAACTGTCTGAACGTGAAAGGATAATTTGTGCTGTAGCACGTGTTTTATTCTGATAAAGCTTTTATGCTTATTGATCAATATACAATATATATATAAATATATACATACCACCACCACCAAACATTCACACACACACCGACACACACACACACATATATATATATATGAATAACAATTGATCGTAAAGAATTCTACTTACTTTACCTTTGCGAGACAATGCCATGATAACTATATCGTAAAATACATGTCATGTCAAATGGCAACAACCTCCAGTTATTGTTTTAAACAGCTATGCAACTCCTACAAATTATGAAAATAATAAACACAGTACTGGCGTATTAACAGAATCTGAAGTCAGCCAAAGGGGTGAAAAGTATGAGCGAAAGCAAGGGCAAAATGTCAGAAGAATCAGACTAGGTGCTCCGGAAGAGTAAGTGTCTTCTGCTTCATCAACGACATCGCCATGTAAGTTTTGGTCAATCCAAAGGAACATGTTTAAAGTGTGATTAAGACATAACAAAAACACACCAGCCAAGAGAGAGACAATTTGTTTCCATATGGATGCCGAAAGTCTACTTGAAAACTTTTACCACCAACTAAAATTCGCTCATATATTTACGATAGCTCTAGACTGCCCATGGTAGTTAACACATGATAAAACGTGTCTTTTGGCATACATTTATACTATTAATGAGGAGAAAGTCTATATACCTACATGTACACATTGTATAATGGGAACTCCTTGGTCGTAATATAACATATAATATATTCCTAAACAGGTTACCATCATTCCATACCTTGATAAGACGACGTCATTGATTTCTCATCGTCCATCGGTTAGCCATTAATGTCCTATCCATTTCTAATCAGCTATTCCCAAAACACTTTCTTACAACGACAACAGATCATACATGCATGATATTGCATTTCACAGTTCTAAAAAATATCCGGTTTGCCCGAACTTACGTCATGACAAATCAAATTGATTATTTATCATCAGTAATTTATGCGAACGTATAAACATAAAACAAAGGATGTGCATAATGTTAAATGATAAAATGCGTTAATTCACAATTGTGAATAGTTCTTGATGTCATGAAATACTTCAATTTTGGTACAAATTTCTAAATTTCAGGCGATAGAAGATGTTAAACTGTTGTTTTAATGTTGTTGATATTGTGGTATTATTTTATCTCGGGAACTAAATGCCAAACATATGAGGCTACTGAGGCAAATATAATGTGATCGAAAGAAATATAAAAATCTTGGTGGGGAAAGTGCACTAGCCCTGTGTTTGACTAAACGTCGTAAATAAATGTAATAGTTTTAGAAGACATGTGTATAAATTTTATGATAAAGACTAACCATTTTTATCTGGTCTTCATTTTTTATCTCACGATTCGAAATAGACACAGTGAAGATCGATATTTGCACTGTTTATCTCGGTTGAAGTTTAAATAAGGGCACTGTTTAATTTTTTCTATTTTTGACATGTTTACCAAGGCACCCATTTCTTGTGTAAAATATTTGCTATCTTTATGTAAGATAACTATAAAAAGAACCCCACTATAAATCAAGAGTTCCTGATACTGCCACTCCCCTTTACATCGAATCACGTGTCTGTGTCTTTTTCTAGAAGGATCTGAACACGCTAGTCCATTACATACAGTATGCCAAAATTTATATGTGTGTAGCTCCATTGGTAGAGGGGATTTCCACATACACAGCCAGACATAAATAGAACGATTTTAACGTAGCGTCTGCACAACATCCTTAACCGTCGAGGTATACACAACATACGTAAAGGCAGACCACAGGACAAACCACGAGAATGCGACTGGTAAATAGATCAAGTATGTACTGTTTTACTTATATTATTCTGATATATATCGTATTGATTTTAATTATATAGAAACCATTAAACGGTTTACCTAATTCAAGCATGTGTTTGGTATTTAGGTCTTTATCGACAGTATTACTCGTTCATGTCAGTATCACGACTAAGGAAAGATTTCCGTACATTTGACATAACTTTGACATAACTTTGGTGCTGTTTTATACGATATCAGCATTTAACTGATTTACAACTAAATTCTTAATGAAAGATCCCGTTCTCTGTTCCTGTGTGCTTATCGTACCTTTATGAAAATTTACATAAACTTTAGGGAAATGTTTATATGATTTGTATTTTAAAACTACTGTCGTTAAATGTTTTATATGTTATTAAGTGAGCAAAAAATGGAATTTTATAAACATTTAGGAATGATCGACAGGGAGAAATATTAGACCTCAGAGAACAAGTGAGGTACAGCGAGACGTAGAAATCTTGTTCGCTTTACACGTAAATGCCGTGATGCTAGCTGTTGATTATGAAGGATTAGAGTTTTGTCATGAAATTTCACATACTATCTCTAACAAGTATAATAATATCGATTGTATAACAGTGCCACGTGTCTAAACGCCTCAAATTATATACATTTTTTGAAAAGGATAATGACAACTAATTCACGGAGAAATCTCATGAAAATACTCTTTTATTCACCAGTACCTTAATATTAATGTCAGTCACAGAGGTATGTGTTATCAAATCACTACCTGCATAGGCTGTACACACTTACACTATTGACGTGTGTTTTATATTCAGTTAAGACATAATATTTTAGCTAAGGATTTGAAGGAAATCCAGGATACAAGCAAGGAAAGATAAGATTTTGCACTCAGTACCTACCTACCTTGGGTCAGATTATTTTTCAGTTGTTAGCATTACGAGCCTGGTGTAGAGGCATTTTATTAACATTGAATCCGGGACTTTCTCTTTATTTTTCTCTTGGTTGACATTCCCAGGCCAGTCGGTATTATTGTTTACATTTCAATGTTTATTCTGTACCACGTGAAAGCCAAATCGTGTTGACATACCATTACCTAAGACACCTACTACATGTATTTATATAATGTATTTAAACAGGAATTCAATATAACACATTAACTAAATAAGTCGAAATTTAAATGAATGTTCTATGAAGCTATTTTATACCCCTAATCCATTCGACGAAAGATGATGAAATCCCGGTAGTAATCGTTTTCACAGCTGCGTAGACCGCGACGTTCAGCTGATGCAATACATTCCTAAAATAGATTCGCACATACTGGTTTCCATTCAATCGGAAATGCTCTGGCTTAACAGCATAATATATGAAAACTGGAAAGTCCAACACACTGTAGATGATTGATTATAACCGTCTGAATGCTAACTGCAGTGTGACAAATATTAGTGTACATTACTATATTATCATGCTTTCTCATGACAATTAATGATGGCTGCAGGGAAACGTCTAAGGATTCAGCTCTCGATTTAATATCCCCTTTGTTACATTGTTAAATGGTCCTTTGGTTATCAAATCGAAGACACTGTGGGCGTCTCTAGCAGGAAATAGTGCATTAGTTTGTAGGCCAATGAACTGAATCTCTCATAACACTGCAAACTTTGATGTTTAGTGCAATAAACCATGTGCCTTCGAATTAATTTAACGTTGTTGATGAAATCTGCACATATGTACTTGCCTGTAGAACGATTTAATATAGATACGGTACATATAACTTGACTTGTAAAATTATTAATGTTGCACTACAGAGAGTGTTTCTTTTTAAAAAAAGGTTTCTCTCTTTCTAAAAACCGATTTTATTTTTCATCTCTGTCCTGACACTATTTCACTTCTGGTTTAGACTTGAGCATTTGCCTTAATAAACGAGGCTCCGATCTACCAGATCTTCAAGCACAAATGATATTTGTCGATCACATTCGATGGGATGAACTAGCGTCCTGTGATCGTGTCCATTTTGTGATATTTCAGTGGGACTGCGCTATCAAAACCTCCATCATTGATTCCTCTGTGGACATCGTATGAGCCTGTTTGTTGTGCAGCCGTAAACCGAAATCATTTGATAATTTTATGGTCATCGTAATGCTTTTGTTAAGTGGCTATATATATTCCATGCCATTTGATGCCGGATATGTTAACATGATATACGTTAAAATTATCTGTTTTTGTTATTCATGCGTCTGCGTCAAAATACATATATGGACTATGACTATATGTCCTATGTGAATAGGACACTCTTCTTCTTTTAAGTAAAGATGACACAGATGACTCCAGAATGCAATAAGTTTACATGTCACTTGCTCTAAATAATAAACATAATAAACAAAACAAAGCGCATTCCCAAGTGATTTCGAAGAATGACAGATGTGAAAACGCTTTTAAGAGGTTCATTATGTTTAACATTTTTTATGAATAGACTTCAAAACACTATAGTTTAACTTGAGAGAGCAGTAACTAGACCTCTAATAATGAGGGGCATTGTGTTTATTGGACTATGTCGGTATGATCATGGGTCTGGTCAATTAAAGTGTTGTTATGCCCATGAGTTGATCACGTGAGTATAGTTTGGATCGCGTGTACACATTATGGAACACTGTTACAGGTCTACTTGACTTGTAAAGAACATATCATTGATCAAGCTGTATGATGCAGTTTAATGATAATTGGCTCAATAAGTTTGATTTTAAAATAGCGTTACAATGTTATATTTACTTAGGTGTTTAATACTTGATATAAAATTTGAAAATTGTGCCAAATCCCTTTGTTACAATAAAGAAAACCCATGTAATCAAAACTTGCCTGTCGTTTGTTCTAGCATATACACGACTTTTATGGCTTTTGGGGACGAGAATAATCCGAAAAAGACATACAGTTACCGTTTATGACTTTAAAAAAATTACAAACACTTCATCCTCATTAATTCATTTAACCATGCCTTATCATTGTGTTGACAATATACATACGATCATATAATGTTCCTTAGTGAGTATATCTTTCATTATATCATCAATTATAAGGTTCTATTTGCAGCTCGAACGTCAATGTAATTGTTTCAATGGCAAAAATATCATAAAAGTGAAAATACAGGGGTATTTTGACGTTAAGCAATATAGCAAGATTAAGTTTCAGTTTTAAGATGTTTTGATTAGTTGAGAGAGTTTGTCATAAGTAGAAGTACAGCTTTCAATAACTATCTTTTGAACATATATACTTTAGCGTTATCCTCCTTTTTTGTGTTGCAGATTCCTCCAGTACGGACTCTGACTCCAGCAGTGGGGAGGTGAAGCTGAAGAAGAGTGTCGGATTGTTTACTGGAGTGGGTCTCATCGTCGGATCCATGATAGGTTGGTACAAAGTTTAACATAAGATAGAACATTCTGTAGCTTAGTTGTGTACACTTTATGTGGCAGTTGAGAACGCTTTCTATAACATTTGAATACACTCTATGTGATTTTTGAGTATAACTGATGCATGCATATATACGAGGCGAGTAATATATAAGAAACTTCAAATTTGTCAGTACACTTTAACATTAGAGTTGTTTTAATATATTAGAGGCGATATATTAGTGAACTTTATTCGCATAGGCGATTACACTTCATAAGGCTATGTAGGTACACTCCATAAGGAAAAGTGATTGAATACCTTTATCTTTAGACTATCTTGAGACATGCATTGACCTTGAGACATATCTTTATCTTGAGATATACTTTTACAATGAGACATACATTGACCTTGAGACATACCTTTATCTTGAGACATGCATTGACCTTGAGACATACCTTTATCTTGAGACATACTTTTACAATGAGACATAAATTGACCTTCAGACATACCTTTATCTTGAGACATACATTGACCTTCAGACATACCTTTATCTTGAGATATACCTTTATCTTGAGACATACTTTTACAATGAGACATACATTGACCTTGAGACACACCTTTATCTTGAGACATACATTAACCTTGAGACATACCTTTATCTTGAGACATACCTTTATCTTGAGACATACCTTTACATTGAGACATACATTGACCTTGAGACATACCTTTATCTTGAGACATACCTTTACATTGAGACATACATTGACCTTGAGACATACTTTCATCTTTAGACATACTTTTATCTTGAGGCATACTTTTATCTTGAGATATGCCTTGACCTTGAGACATATCTTTATCTTAATAAATCCCTTTACCTTGAGACATACCTTTAAACGCTATAGTAACAAATACAAAACGTAAGCCAGGTATATATTTCGTAAGTTTTACGTACTTTATCTTCAGGATCTGGGATATTCATATCCCCCAAAGGAATATTAGAAGGTACTGGATCTATCGCCATGAGCCTCATTATCTGGGCTTTGTGTGGTCTCGTCGTCACACTTGGTAAGTTCATTGTCGACCTACTCTTTGTAACTTAAGTATTGTTTTACTTTATGTAAAGACAGTGTTGAATGTTTGTTTACCTGTAAGATTACTTCCAACTGACTAAATATATACCATAGATGTAGAGGTATTCGTGCGGGAAAATGATAAGACACCAATTCTAGTGTGTCTGTTGTTCACTCTTCAGTTTAGAAAAGTGCGGCAAATCAAATGTTTACTCGTTTGGAGATTAAGTACAGATTTTGTTTATCTCATTTTTTACATCGACACTTAATCCTTTAGAAGAGGCAACACATGTCTGGCTAAAACACCATATGGTCAGGTGACCTCTGTAGTAACGTCACTCGTTTGATTGTTACAACACTGCATGAGTTTCCCTTTAACTCTCCGAATAAGCCTTAGAAGTCTAAAACATTAACTTTATTAATGTTATTTCAAAATATGAATACTAAATGTTTTACCCAATACTCATGATATATATTGTTTGAAAAACAGGCAATGGTTATTTTCGGATCCCGATGCTAAAATGGCCTACATAATTCATACATTTATAAGTATATTGCTAGTAAAGGTTTTCCTAGCATCGTAAAACAAATTGAAAATGTTATTTCAATCCAGACCGAGTCTCCTCTGTTCCCAGGACTGTTTACCGAATATGCAAAACCTAACTGAGAGTTATGTAAATGATATTTTGATGATTGTTCCCCGAGAGCAAATAGGTTTGCTTTTGCCTTGTTACACCTCTGTCGTCTTACATCACAATATTCTGTTGAATCACTATTAAGTTTTTTCCACTTGACACAAGTCATTAAGTATTGGTGAATGCTTGTGTTATCAGGTGCATTATCCTATGCCGAGATGGGCACAGCTATCCCCAAGTCTGGAGGAGAACATTCGTATCTCATGTTTACATATGGACATATGAGCAAATTAGGCGCTATTCCTTCTTTTATATTTGACTGGGTAGGTATCGAAATATATTAATTCTTACTGTGTCTAGCTTATGTCTGATTTTGTAAAGGAATGCTAGTATTTCTTAGGTTTTCTAAGTAATGTTACGTCATCAGTATTTTTATTTTACCTGCAATGTTATATTGTTTATTTGCTTAATTTTGTCATCGATATACATTTTATTAGCACGTCTTAAGTCTGTTTGAATACTGGTAGGTTAAGAATGTATACATGCACTTGAAGTTCCTCTGAAATTATCAGATATGAAAATATCAATCGATAAGGTTAAGGGATTAGTGCACTTTCACATCTTGATTTTTGCGATCACTTTGGAGTTTTCTCCGTTGCCTATGTTTCGATATGTTGATCCTTAAAATCACTGGCGAGACCTAGAAGGACGAAACAGAAATATGATGTTGTTTACATAATTATTTTTCACTACTGTATCTAATAATAAATTGTGATAAAGGATGTTATTAAATTGTGTGTCTTTTGTACAATCTTTCAGGTGTCTTTGTTTATTATCCGGCCAACCCAGTTCGCTCTAATCAGTCTCAGCCTTGGAACTTACGTCGCCAAGCCATTTTTCCCGGATTGCGACCCACCCCTCAAGGCCGTTAAGCTAATCACAGCTGTTGCTATGCGTACGTATTGTAGTTTTTATCCAAACAGAGCTGATGACGCACCTTGCTATATTTGTCATTGGTACTTAAATATTTTATTTATATTTGTGTCTTCTGGTATTTGCATAATTTTACATGGCATATTAGTCAACCTGCTGTGAATTAAACATTAAATTGTGTTTTTATGATAAATGCTTAATTTATTTGTTTGAAATGATACGTCCTAGCAAGAGAGATTGACAATTTGAAGACTGTCTCCATGAATGGTGGGTCCATTGACTGACCCTTATCTAGTGTCATCACGCTGAAATGTTGTACCCGGATATGGTTGCGTGACAGTTCATCTGGTTATACTACAGTGATAACGTGCTAACCATGCCTTGAGCGCCATATTATATTCTTAATGACTAGCAGGGGATACGATGTCCATTTCCACATTTAACTGCTTTTAAAGAGTTGATCAATCCGACATTACAGTAAGTTAATCGCAATTAAAACAAAATCCCTTATTGTTTTCAGTTCTTGTGACATTTATCAACATTACAAGTGTCAAAGTTGCGGTTTGGCTCCAGTCCTTCTGTACGATAGCTAAACTACTCGCCATAGCAATGATCAGTTTTGGAGGACTATACAAATTAATTACAGGTAAATTCTACTTTAAAGTAGAGGAAGATAAATGACCCCTTTACATATTTCAGGGGAATGAAAAGACTTGTTTTGTAACCTACGCTGGTTTTTATCGTGTTTATCGTTATGCAATTATCTTCAATTCAGCTAACAGGTATATCTTGAACATTCCCAAATTAACCAAATCGTTATCGTGGAAGATAATGACTGATTGTCTATGCTACACTATTTTCATCATCTCGTTATGAAATTATCTTTTAATTCAACTCTCATTTTCTTACTATTCGTGGCTATGTTGATCGTGTTTCTCGTTTATCGTGTTATCTAGATGGCGCAGAACACTTGGGAGAAGGATTTGAGGGAACCAGTGAGAATGTTGGGCTCATTGCTATAGCATTCTATAATGGTCTTTGGGCATTTGATGGATGGTAGGTAAACCAGTGTTATGATGTCGGGTTTTCCAGTCACGTTTAATATACACATTTTGGTTAAATCTTCATATCAAATACGTTTACTGTTGTCTTCATTAGAGCTATTTTTATATTTTTTTCCTAATTTCGTTTTTGATAAAGTTTTTTTTAAATGCATATATATATATATTATATTTATTGATTTGAAGTTTGTACAAGAACTGTTATCGCACGTACGCCAGAAATAAAATCGATTTTTTTTCTGTTCTAGGAATAATTTGAATTTAGTGACAGAAGAACTGAAGAGTCCACAAAAGTACGTAAAAAGGCCTCACAGTGAAATTCATGTCATTACAGCCACCTTCGGGACTGGCCTTCTGTAGTCACAATGACAGTATAGCCTTAATAGCAACTATCATATCACCAAGCAAAACTACATAAGGACTATGTTTTCAGTCAGTTTGTGTATACAGTGAAAGCTACATTACAAATTAATTATATGATACATTTTGCATTTAAACGATTTTAAACGATACCATACAGTGATCATCTTCTACATTTAAATTCAGATATTCAAACTTATTTTGTTGGAAAGATACGACGATGTTTGTGTAAGCATATTTACAATGAACAATTAAGCATTAGAGGTTTAAATAAATTTCTAAAGTGATTTCGTCCATCGTAACTCCTGGTTAGTTATTTTGAAATATAAAACTTATCATTTTGATTTGATTTTACTGTAAACAAACAGTATATTTCAGATAATATGATAATGAAAAGTATCAGTTTATCCTTGTTTATCTTTCAGAAATCTGCCATTAGCTATCATCATTGGTATCCCAATGACCACTGCCTGTTATCTTCTGGCCAATGTTGGCTACTTTGCCGTTATGTCCAAACATGAAGTCCTGGAGTCTCACGCCGTGGCTGTGGTAAGTTTATAAAATTTTGGGAAACCATTTCATTAATCACTGAATGGTATTCGACGTTAGAGATGAAACGTATAATGTCCGAAATTGTAAATTCAAACATAAGATTAAAAAAAAACTTCAGATGTAAATGTGAACCGCAACCATTAACAGTTCATTTAACGGTTTCATACAGTTCATACATAAGATAAATGAAATAAAATTTATTGTATAAAATCAAAATTATGTTTGTTTCACTGTAGTACACTCACTATTATGTGAACGGAGAAAAACTGTTTTTCATTCTCTCTATTGGGAGTATTTCGTTAAGCATATCTGATCTCATTGTAGACGTGGGGTGACCATATGCTTGGCGTTATGTCCTGGACCGTGCCCCTCTTTGTCGTCATATCCTGCCTCGGGGCTGCCAACGGTTGTCTGTTCGCCACATCCCGGTACGAATTACGTTGTGTTTATCTCCCTTCTAATGTGCCTTTGCCTGTTGACATGGTCAATCCTCCAAGCTTACCTTGTTTATTAGAAAAATTGTATTTTTATATTGAATAAAGTCATAACGTTAAATATACTTTCTGATTTACATTATAAAGTACATTTTTATTCAGTTAATATTTATACAACAGTGACGATCTGGCGATGATTTCATGAGTGTAAATCGTGTTGTAGACTGGTATACGTAGCAGCCAGGGGAGGTAACTTCCCCCAGGTATTATCCTTCATCAACATGACAAGACTTACACCTCTGCCATCAGTTCTATTCACGGTAAGTAAAAATCACTACCAAAGTTTACACTACTACAGTTTAATATCGTGTCGTTACATATGTTAGGAACACTTACATTGGTCTCTTGTTTTGATTTATCAGCGTTTTGCAGTATATCCTTATTATTGCAAGTTCTGTATCCTACTTTTAAAATGATCTTTACTCATTTAAAACAACAGTGTTTTTATCTATCAAAATATTAATGATCGCACACTGGAAACTTTCGCAGTAATCACAGGAGGATTCATACATGAAATTTTAAAACCAAGAATTTGTCTTTAGATTTACAAAAGGACTTTAAAAGCTGCGAATGTTTTCTGATATTATATAAAGGGGAATAACTTTGCATTATGTTCGACCATTTAGGCTGTTCAAAGGGAGATAACTCGATAGGTATTGTGGATATTTTTCATTTTACTCTATTGTTTGAATTACAGTCCTTGGTAGGATTTGCCATTCTAATACCAGGAGACATTAGTACACTTATGGACTTTTACGGATTTTCCGCCTGGTTTATCTACAGCATGACAATATTCTCCGTTCTAGTCCTACGATATACACAGCCGAATTTACACAGACCTTATAAGGTAAGTGATAAAAATGTCATACCCAGCGAAGTCCACACAGGCCTTTTAAGGTTAGTTGTAAAAATTTCCTACACAGTGAAATCGACCAAGGCCTTAAAAGGTAAGTGGTAAAAATGTCATACACAGAGAAGTCTACACAGGCCTTTTAAGATTAGTGGTAAAAATCCTACACAGCGAAATCTGTCCAGGCCTATAAAGGTAAGTATTAAAAATGTCATACACAGCGAAATCGACCCAGGCCTTTTAAGTTAAGTGGTAAAAATGTCCTACACAGTGAATTCTACCCAGGCCTTTTAAGGTAAGCGGTAAAAATGTCCTACACAGTGAAATCTACACAGACCTGATAAGGTAAGATTAAAATGTCAAATAAAGTAGTATCATCAATGATGCCTTCATAGACCTCATTATACTATGTATATATTGACACCCTTATCGTTCTACGTCAGACAGGACCAGGAAGCCATTTTTATCAGTTAAAACATATTTACAAACTGAAAGTGCTCCTCAAAATAAGCGAAATACCCCTCTTCTACTTGTTTTAAATTATGTTCTAACAATTTTTTATTTTGTTGTTTGGCTTTACTGTATCTAACTTAAAATTTCTATTAAAAGGTGTTATTCACTTGTGTGTCTTTTATCTATCTCCTATATGTAATTATTTTACGAAAATTAAGGTATGAAACACTTTTGTTGGTTGTTTTAATTTGAATACATTTTACGATTTTTTACCGACAGGTTCCAATCATCATTCCAGTGTTCGTCTTCCTCATAGCATCCTATCTATTGATTTCTCCAGTTATACAAAGTCCCAGAGTACAATTTATATACGCTTGTATATTTATTGCCAGTGGAATGCTGTTCTATTTTCCTTTTGTCTATATGAAAGTGCAAGTACCTTATATGGGTAAGTATTACAAATGTAGGTAGAAATTAAAACACATATTTCCTTGTTTATCCAATTCTCATGATTGTAACCGTTTGAAATTTCTACATTTTTTAAGTCATGTAAGATTAGGATGGCATCACTTTCGAACATTTTCTTCTACCGATGAGAACAGTTTCGTTTGGTATGAACTAAAACACTTAAAACTAAATTGCAAATATGAATTGCAATTATCAAAACACGTGTCGCTGAATTTTGACACACTTACTTCTTTGGTAATTCTGTGACGTATTTTGCACATATTCTTGATTTTGTGCTTTTATTAAAGTAGTGATAGTATTTTTCTTTGTTTATTTAACTTAAGATGCATTTCTTCTTTTATTTTTTCAGATAAATTCAGTACAATTATGCAAAAGACATTCCTTATTGTACCTGGTAAAGCAGATTCCTAAAACATAACATTATAACAAACATATGGTATCACCGCACTGGTGATATGATGTGTTTTCTGATGCCGGTTTAAGTGCTTATGTCTTCATGACAATTATTGTAAGTATCTTAAGTCGTAGACTTGCTTCATCGTACATCACACAAGCTATGGGTAATGGTTTTTCTGATAACTATACACGTGTTGAAGTGTAAGTTGGAACTAATCAAGTCAACATATTCAACCATGCTTTGTATCATTGTAGACTTGTAATGTGTTTGGCAAACCAAAATTATACTAATATGGAGTCCTTATTTATTGGAATCTGTCAAATATTACTGAATCTGTATGGAGTAGAATCTATAACACTTTAGATCTGCAAGGAATCACACTTGATATAATTCATTGCGTGGTTTGAAAGTTTATGTTCATGAAGGAGGAAGGAGATTAACTGGCAGTATGTGTCATCAAAAAGACATAGCGGTGTATGGATGGTTATGATCGACTTCGCTGTGTGTCTTTTGTACAATATTTGCTATATTTGTTTGTAGAACATTGCATCGGTTAAACAAAAAGAGAAATGGTGATCCAGCACATCAGGACACCTTGTAATGAATTTTCACCTGAAATAGTCATGAAATATGCATGTTTTTGTAATAGGAGATTATCTACCTAAAATAGTATATTTTACTTAGTCAGAGATAGGCATTAATATTCAATAATTTAGTACATCTTTCTTGCAAATGCATAATAAAGTATAGGGCTTAGAAAATATTGCATTACATGTGTATACTGATAATGATGATATACACGCTTAAAGTACACCGTTGTATCATACCAATCTTATATATATATATATATTATGTTCGTAACCCGCCATAATGACCAACACTTCTAATTTCATACTTGTAGTATAATACAGGACATGGTTACCTTTTTAACACAACTTTTTATATTATTTCTTTTTTTCTGTCTTTTTTGTTTTGTTTTTAAAGCATAATATTTATGTTTTAAAAATAGCATTTGTTTCCCAGTATGAATCCTGCAGTGATATGTGGCTGTGTTTCTTATATAATAGGTGTTAACCTTGACGTACAGTGTATATATAATCCAATTTCCCACTTGCCAGTTTTGAAAGCGTTTCGTGTATAATGCTCTTGTTACTTATATCTATCGATACTTCTTTCATATTATATAATATAGATCTGATTAAAAATGATAGATAAATCATTTGAAAACTGATAACATTATATTTTCTTTAAATAGACAACGTTATATTGTTTATAGTACGGCATTTTAAAGCCATTTAATTCCGAATCACTTAGTACTGTAGTACTTACAAAATAATAGTAAAATACGTGATTTAATGCAAGGAACACATGTGTGGTAATGTAATTGGTTGTAGTTTTTCATTTTTTCAATGTTGATATCTCCTCTTTCAGTTGCATTTTGGCATCAAAGTTTCAATGTTTTACATTCTATATCATTTCACAAATGTTTGAACAAACAATCCTATATTCTAGTCCGTAAGATTAGATAGTTTATACCCTGCAGGATATCTCGTTGAAGATCACCAGAAGCACTTAAAAATGAAAGTACTGTGATATATATTTCACAGATATGAAACATTGTTCTTCTAACAAAGCTTTGTTTTATGATATATACCATCCATTTTGATGAGTATATATATATATTTGCTATATTATTTTTGTTGATTATTATTATTTGCAACGTATTACTATTTTTGCTTTTGTTAAAATTTGAAATATTGTTTGAAGATATTGTAAATATCAGTTGTATTTTCTTTACTTTTACTATCCTTGATAAATACCATTACTGATGATATCTGTCTGCTGATGGGCCTTTCATCCCAGAGATTTGTCGAAACATATATGCCACGTTTCAATTAATTTGGATATTGTCATTGTTCAGCATATCCATGCTAAATGCTGAATTTTTTTCATATACCTAAAAATTGTGAAATCTATTGGATAGTGGGGCGTGTACACCTCTCAATATAAATTTTGTCATTTCTTTGATCAATTTACGTTTTCCTCAGTCGCCTCATAAATTCCAACAGTTATGTCGTTAACGTCACCGACGAGTCCTAGAATGACGAAACAACTCTATAATGCAGTTAAGTTATTTTTGCATTGGTTATAAAAGGTGCTAGTTACCTGTGTGCCTTTTGTAAACTTCTGATATTTATCGACGATGAGGATAACTGCTGACCACCATATCAAGATATTGTTTTGTTTGTATAGCAATGTAATTGTTATTTTATTATAATTATAAACGAAAGACTGTAAACACCAAATAACAAATATCTTCCAATTGTTTAATATCTAAATACTGTGCTTCAGGTTTTCGTGAAGCTGTTGTTGATTTGTGAAATAAACGGTTTATTTTTCGTATTTATTGAGTTTTTATGTTCTGGGATAATTAAGTTGGTCTCTTTGGGTATGAAATCTCCAAGTACATCAATACATGTCTATGGGTGGTCGAATGGAGCAGTGGTAACGAACTTGTCTTTCACAACAGCGGTCGGGGTGAAAAAGTATGGAGTATGATCTACCACGTGGTTTTTCACTGGTATTTAAATCGCCTTTCATAGCGCTTCTCATGCTTCCATCCGAGCCAACAAGAGTGACTGATACAAGTTAGTACACCTTGTTTCGTTAATGTAAACAAGGGGCCCATGGACCTTAACAGCTACATGACCATAAAGATCTATAATATGAAAAAGGCCGAATAGGCCTCAGTTGAAAAAATATCGTTTAAAGATTTGAACACACTTCGGGTCAGACGACCTAACAAAGCGAAAACTAGAGCATATACGTTTCAACAACCTACCACTCTAATTAAACACAAGTGTCCATCATACTTGATATTTCTGTTCATAGAACATCAAGCAAATAGCAATCTGACCGTAACTTGTTTCGCTTTATAAAAACGGAAATTCGGGTTTGTTTTATATTGTTACAAACGGCTATATTCACTGAAAGGGAAATAACACTCAGGGACAAAGAATTGACCAAAACACAACTTCAAAATACGAAAGTTTTCCTCTCCAGTTTATTTGATGTAGTGGTACCATTTATTAAACATATAATATTTTGTAACGTTTCTGTACAAATAGTTGATCTTATCGTCTAGAAATTTAGAACATTAATGATTTTATAATAACTTGTGATTAAAGAAATCAATGAAAACCCGCGTCAGGATGCGGTCGATGTATCCTGATGTATTTTATTTTTTAAATTATGAAGTCTGCATATCTGGCTTTTGGAAATAGCTACCACATTTTAGGTGAAAGGAACACAATGGCACAGATGAATTTGAGTCTGTGACACATTACTAATGTTACTAATTTTGCTTTGAGTATATACCCAGATTTTACCCCGGTAGTATGCCTATAGACCTAGATTTTCACCCTTTAAAGGTCATTGCATAGGTTGTCACAAGACGTTGTCATTATAATAGTGATAAACGACAAAGGCAATCTGAAAAAGGTTGGTTTAACGTATATAAAGAAACCCAATCGATGCGAACTGAGATATGGAAACAAATCCCATTTAAAGAGGCTACGTGGTATTTTTAATGTCATTTTAACGCCCTTTTCAAACATGTGCTGTAGTGCAAATATTGCATCAGACTTCAAAAATGCTTGAAAGTTAAAATACTCTCTGACACTGTTTGTTCTACAGAAAGTGTCGCAGTGTATTTACTAATACTCATGTGATGTTCCTTTGTGTAGTTGTATTTGTCTTTCGTTGAATATCATTCTAACATCTTAGTAAACCACTTACACATAAAACACTATACACACACGGCTTGACTTTACATTAATTCTTATCCACAGAATACTTTATTCAGCCTCGACATGACAGAACATGTGACTCATTACATGCTGTAATTAAGGCAGACGAGTGGTACAAAGATTTGAAATACGGCATGCACATCATAGTATTATATTTATAATGATGAAGAATATCCTATAAATGACAGAATTAATCTACAAACAATAAAACCCGTCACATATGTTTTGTTACAAGTATATAATACATGATGTTTTCTATCAGGTCAAATGTTAGAGGAAGCACGTGCTTGCCATGTCACACGAGGCGAATCACGTGAAAAGAACGTGATGTATGGCATAGACAGCTGTACTGTAGAATCTTCCAGAGTGTTGTTTGATATGTTTTAGCTTGTGTTGAAGAATGCTTTTCACTTGTGTGTTATACATTATTGAATGAAGCAAATTAGGATTGTTTTATAGAAACATTTCAGTTCAAGCATTTTTACATGACATCCCTCCCAGACAATCATGTACTGTTGCTGGATTGTGTTCGGTATATCCCATTGAACATCCCACTTAGTACTCAGGGTCAACTTAGGAACATCAAAAATTTGTTTGAATGATTTGGGTATGTCATGACTAGGGTACAAAACCTATGACCTTACCATACCGATAAATTCTCGCTCTTAATGCCGGCTATATAGGGCAGTATCTAGGGACATTTAAGTGGATAAAAACTGTTCAAAACTATACCTAGTCTGTTAGCCTCTTATGATCCGATAATGCTGACAGATTAGATTTCCCATGCGCTATTTGAAGGTCCCAATCACTTTTTGAAACCGTATGACAACCTTTCGCTTAGGCGACTTGAGGAAGTACTACTTAATATGAAAGGTGTAAGCCTGCTTGTGATCGCATGTAACTTCATAGTGTTATCACACTGAAGTATGCATGTCACCTTAACTAAATACTAAAACTGTCTATTGGCAAACCATTTCCTACAATCCTATTTATTCATTGTTAAAGATATATCACACTTATGTCATTACACGTGAACCTTGAGATCGTCCCCGCTTTGTATAGGTACTACACATTACCGTTCACCATGTTCGAAACTTGCTGCAAATGATGAGTTATTTTTAATTTACAAAACGATAATCGTAAGTCGGAGACATCAATATACAATGGCATGATGAAGTAACAAAAAGCGTTCCAGAACTGCCAAATTTGTGTATGTACTCTATTT